GCTGCCACGCACTTGAACGTCTTTGTCTCACCTCCCACCTCACTTTAGCGGGTGCTGGGGCTGAGTTTCAGCTGTGAGCCAGGGCCTGCATTGTCTTTCTTCTTTTCTTTTTGTTTGGCGATTGTTTTCTGAGACAGGGTTTCTCTGTGTAGCCCTGGCTGTCCTGGAACTCGCTCTGTAGACCAGGCTGGCCTCGAACTCACAGGGATCCGCCTGCCTCTGCCTTCCGAGTACTGTGATTAAAGGCATGCGCCACCTTCACCTAGCTCTTTTTTCTTTTTTTTTTTTTTTTTTTTTTTCGGGGCTGGCTTTTCTAAAGTGGGTCATGGGCATGGAACTTAAGCCATTTCACCTGTCTGAGTTTACTCTTTTTAAATAAGACTTTACTGTATAGCCCAGGCTGGCCTTGAACTTGTGATTCTCCTGCCTCTGTGGTCTGAGTGCTGAGATTACAAGTGTGCACCACTACTCACTCCCTGGCTCCTTGGGTACACTAACTGGCTTCCGCAGGGCCTTCCTTATGTGCTGAATGCAGTTTTAAAATTGCAGCTGTGGGGACAACCTAGGCTGCAACAGGAAAGCCTGATCTATTCAGCCCCTTGTGCCCTTTCTCTCTTTCAGGAAACTCCCCCGACTTCAGGACTTCCGATGCTTGGCTGTGCTGGGCAGGGGACACTTCGGGAAGGTAGTGGGTTGAGGATGGTACAGCAGAGTTAGCCCGTGGGTTAGCCTCAGCAAATTAGCTAGGAGATGCTGGGGTGTGGGGTGCTGGGTGGGGAGGTAAAGGCTCTCTGTTCTGCCTATCTGGAGCCCAACTCTGGTTCCTAGGTCCTCCTGGTCCAGTACAAAGGAACAGGGAAATACTACGCTATCAAGGCCCTGAAGAAGCAGGAAGTGCTGGGCCGAGACGAGATTGACAGGTGTGTGTAATTGAGAAGTAGCTGACCCTGAGGGAACCCTTGAGAGGCTGGCATGGGGTTCTAGAAGGTAGCTTAAGATCCCAGGGGTCAGGTTCTCTTTTTGGCACTGAGAAAGCTCTCACATTTTTGAGCACCCCAGGTTGCTCTTCTATAAATAGGACTGTGGTAGTTTTGCAGTTTTGTTTTGTTTTTTGAAGACAGGCTTTCTTTGTGTAGCCCTAGCTGTCCTAGAACTTGCTCTGTAGACCAGGCTTGCCTCGAACTCACAGAGATCTGCCTGCCTCTGCCTCCTGAGTGTTGGAATTAAAGGTGTGGGCCACCACACATGTCTAGTTTTGTAGGTAACCATCCAGCCAGAGGTGGGTGGCAGGGCACAGCCCATGGAGGTGCCATCCCATCCATCCCATCCTCCCTTGCAGCCTGTACTGTGAGAAGCGGATCCTAGAGGCTGTGGGTCGCACAGGGCACCCCTTTCTGCTATCCCTCCTTGCCTGCTTCCAGACCTCTAGCCATGCCTGCTTTGTTACTGAGTTTGTACCTGGAGGAGACCTCATGATGCAGATCCACGAGGATGTCTTTCCTGAGCCCCAGGCCTGGTGGGTTCCCTGGTTACTTAGTGCTTGCTCCCTTGGGATAGGGGTTACCCAGCAGACAAATAGCACAGGGTTGAAGGAGCCTTATAGGGTGGAACTCTTATAGCATATGGGAATTCCATTTGCATAGCCATGGATGGGATCTTTCATCACCATTTTGAGAGATTGTTGCAGGGATAAGAGACATGCTTGCAAACTGCCCAGCTCGGGATGGCGGCTGCAGCTGCCTACCATGCTCCTCCAGTACCTGCTCTGGTTAAAACAATCTGACTCAGCACATCAACTCTGATCCTAGTATATGACCCTGGTTCAAGTCTCCGAGCCTCATTTGTATGTAGTGTGGCTGTGCATGGCATGTTCACGAGTGTAGGAGTCCTTGAAGGCCAGAAGAGGGTGCCAGATCTCCTGGAGCTGGAGTGACAGGCAGTTGTGAATCATCTGACACAGGAACCTGATTGTAGGAACCAAACTGGAGGGTCTTCAAGAGTAATACTCCCTCTTAAATGCTGGGCCATCTTCCTAGCCTCTCAGATCCTGATTGCATAGCATGACAGTTACCCCACAGGCTGCTGGGGATATTCTCATACAGAGCTGGGTTTATCTTACACCAGGGTTTATCTTACATCAGGCAAGTGCTCTACCACAGAGCGACATCCCCAGCCCTCTGCATGGCCTCAGACTTTCTATTCCATTGCTTCAACCTCTCAAGTACCTGGAATTATAGGTCTATACCACTAGACTCAGTGGCCCTGCCATAGTTGAGTCCAGGAAGGATAGGCCATTAGTATATGACAATATTGGGAGGACTTGTGGGCCCTTCCATCCAGCCCAGGCACCATATTTGTTTGTCAAGTCTCATCCATGCCCAATCTGGCCAGGACCTTCTGGTGCCTCCTGGTGCCTGGCCTGAATTCTCCCTATACCACCCCTCAGCTTCTACCTGGCCTGTGTGGTCCTGGGGCTGCAGTTTCTACATGAGAAGAGGATCATTTACAGGTAGCCTGCCTGAGAGATGCTAGGGTGGGCCTGGGTGGGCCACTGTCCTTCTCCTGTGCAGCTCTCATGCCCTGGGCCTCAGCCTCTTTGATCTGCACCCTTCTGCCATCAGGGATCTGAAGTTGGATAACCTACTGCTGGATGCCCAGGGCTTCCTGAAGATTGCAGACTTTGGACTATGCAAGGAAGGTGGGTCCCCAGTACTGGGATCATATGCTCTTGCCTTGCCCAAGCCAGCTGGAAATATGGCCACTCATGGGTACCCAGGCTCCACAACTGCTGGCCTTTATTCCTGACCATGACCCTTGTTTAGGAGGACAGCTGAGGATACCCGCTCTTCCTAATTTGTAGTTGGTCAGGGAATCTATGATTAGGGCTGAAGAGGACATTTGTTCTGAACAAGAGTTCAGCAGATTTCGCTTTCTCATATGGTCACTGGCTGCATGATGATCTTAGCTTAGCGTCTACAGGACACAGCAGGCCTTGTTAGTGGGTATTATAAAGGCTGACACAAATTAATAAGTACGTATCTGCATACATACATACATATGTATGTATTTGTATTGCTGGGTTTTGATCCATGGTCTCACATATGCCATACGCCAAGCAAGTGCTTTACCATTGACTCACACCTTCATCTCTGGCCTTGTTCTTTTTTGTTTGTTTGTTTTGTTTTTGAAGACAGAGTTTCTCTATATAACACCTCTGGCTGTCCTGGAACTCACTTTGTAGACCAGGCTGGTCTTGAACTCACAGAGATCCATCTGTACCACCACCGCCTGGTGATTTTTTAATTTTTTGTTTTTAAAAGGTTTGTGTACTCCTCTCCCCAACCTCCCTCCCTGACCACTCCCTCTTCTTTTCCTTCAGAAAAGTGCAGGCCTTCCATCTATATCACCAGCCATGGAATGGGAGGGGAAACTGATCAGGCTGGGAAAATAATAATTAATAAAAGAACTCCCCCATTTTTGTGTGTATGGGTATTTTTGCATGCATGTATGTCTGTGTACGAGATGCATGCCTAGTGCCTGGGGAGGCTTTAATAGGGCTTCAGGTACCCTGAAACTGGAGTTACAGACAGCTGCAAGCCACCATGTGGGTGCTGGGAATCAGACCTGGGTCCTATCTTAACCCCTGAGCTATCTCCTCAGGCCCTTCCCCCACTGATTTTTTTTCCTTTCTTTTTTGAGTTTTGGAGCCAGTCCTGGAACTTGCTCTGTAGATCAGGCTGGTCTCCAACTCACAGAGGTCCGGCTGCCTCTGCCTCCCGAGTGCTGGGATTAAAGGCGAGCACCACCAATGCCCAGCCCCCCACTGATTCTTATAACCACAGAGGCTACATTGAGTGAGCCACACTCAAGCCGGCATTGGTTTGCAGGGATTGGCTTTGGGGACCGGACGAGCACCTTCTGTGGCACCCCAGAGTTCCTGGCCCCCGAAGTTTTGACTCAGGAGGCTTACACTCGGGCTGTAGACTGGTGGGGGCTGGGCGTGCTGCTCTATGAGATGTTAGTGGGTGAGGTAAGTTCTAGAGTGGGGATTCTCGGGTCTCTGGGGTGGGGACAGTGGGATAGCCCACACAGCCCACTGAGTCCCCACCTTCACAGTGCCCATTCCCGGGGGACACAGAAGAGGAGGTGTTTGACTGTATCATCAATGCTGATGCGCCGTATCCCCACTTCCTGTCGGTTCAAGGACTTGAGCTCATTCAGAAGGTGAGTCCCAAGGTCCAGGGCTTGGCCAGGCAGTTGCTGTGGCTTGTGTACTTTCTGACAGCACCTTAGGGACACCACCTTGGGGCCCTATGGCATGGCTTAAGTAGGCTTAAGTGGGGTAGCTAGCACCTGGAGTGGCATGCCCTAAGTTCACATGTGCCCTGCTTCCTGTCAGCTCCTCCAGAAGTGCCCAGAGAAGCGGCTAGGGGCAGGAGAGCAGGGCGCAGAAGAGATCAAGGTTCAGCCATTCTTCAGGGTAAGCAGCCAGTGGTCCCCATTGCCTGGTGGGGTGGGAGGGTTGGGTGACCCCTGGGGTCTCTGTGTCCCCCCCCGCCCGTCTCAAAGTCCTCTACCCTTGTTCTCAGACCACCAACTGGCAGGCCTTGCTTGCCCGCACTGTCCGGCCCCCCTTTGTGCCTACTCTCCATGGCCCTGCAGACCTTCGATACTTCGAGGGGGAGTTCACCAGCCTGCCTCCAACCCTCACCCCACCAGCACCCCAAAGTGCCCTCACTGCCCGCCAACAGGCTGCCTTCCGGGACTTTGACTTTGTGTCTCAGCAGTTCCTGGAGTCCTGAGGGTTTCCTGGCCCCTCTGCCTCCCTCTGCCAGACTGTAAGCACTGTCCACTGTCCATGTGCCCAGGGCCAAGGTATTTAATGAATGTGTGGGTTCCAGGTAGTGGGGCTGCTGCTGGAGACTTTTCTCAGTGTTACTGGGTGAGCTGTGTCCCTAGCCCTTCTGCTTCCTGACCAGGAAGGCCCCACAACAGAACTGTTTGTCTTTTTAATACTTGCCTTTATAGAATATTAAATTAATAAAGCTATACATTTGAGGTAGCCAGGCCAGGGGTCATGGTGGAGTTTGGGTTCACTTTGTGTTGACCCCCCTTCCCCCATACGTCCTTTCCTTGTTGGGGGGGGGGTCCTGTCTGCTGCTCTGCTGAAGGCGGAGAGCTCTGGGAAGGGGTAAATAGCTCAGGCTAACTGGGCTGGTCTCTGGTGGCACAGCCTCCTGTTTTTAGGCACAATGGCACCTTCTCTTCAGTAACCCTAGACAGCCTGACTACTGCCTTCCTCCTCTTCTTCAGCCCAGAGGGTCTCCCAGGGCCCAGAGGGCCACCCACAGAAGAAGTGGGCCAGGTTTCGAGTCAGACCTCGGTCAAAGGGGTTGCTGGTGCGCTGGCGGAGGTAGGCAATTCGGTGTGAGGATATGAACTCCCAGGTAGTAGTGTTGCTGGCCACCAGGTAGAGGTGTGAGGCCAGGAGCAGGCTGACCACCAATGAGAAGAAGGAAAGCAGCAGGAAGGTGGTAAACAGAAGCCCAGTAGACCGCAGCCACAGCCCCCAGGGCTGGATGAACCGGAGGCCAGACCTGGAGGACAGAGAGGGAGGAGATGGGGGAGTCCTGACTCTGTGATCGTCTATGTGTATACTGTCCACACTCCCTGGTGCACCTACCATGCCAGGTACAGGCCCCACAGGAGAACCACCAGCTGCAGTGCCAGATAAGCCACAAAGAGGGGGTGGTTACGTTCACCCACACAGTTCTCCATCCAGGGACAGTGGTGGTCATAGCGGCGAACACAGCGGCGGCAGTGTCGACAGTGTCGGGCTCTCAGGGGCTGCTGTGGGCACAGAGGGGAGTCCAGGCTCAGTACTGCTCCCCCAGGGCATCCTAAGAGGGCTAAAGGCCGCAGTCAGGTCCTAAATTTGCGAGACCTTCCTGGAGGAGAGGCAAGGCCAAGGTGCCAGGGCGCCAGGGCAAGGAGTCTTAATTTGGTCCCGATTCCTCCCACAAGAGTATGTTTATATCACCCACCAGCACCAGGCAGTATCTGCAACGCCTAAGTGGGATAGCCTGAGGTACCATAGCTGTCTGTTCCTCCTTGGGCTCCTCCTGAAAGTAAAACAAAGGGTACAAGATGGGGGGAAGGGGTCCCCTTGGGAGGCAGATGACACTGGGGGGGCATGTCCCTTAGGGGCCACTTGGTTCTAGATGTGTGGGACTTGGGGCCAGTCCCATGTAGAAGGGAGATATGTACACAGTAGAGTACTGGACACTTGGTGGCCTTTGCAAGACACTCGCCCTCACTTGGGCCTTGGTGATTTCCTCATTGAAGGAGCAAAATCATATGGTAGGAAAGAGCCTCACCAAGATGATCCACAATGTGAGCAGCTCAGAGCTTCATAGATATATTTCTGAGGCCTCATTTCCCTGTTGGCCCATGGAGGGGCGTGGGCCTCCGGGTCCCTGCTTACCTGAGATTGGGGCTGAGTATTCACATAGCCAGGGTCCATGAGTGACACAGCCAGATAGAGTAACAGGGAGCCCATGACCAGGAGCAGGAAGGTGAGGGGCAGGAACAGCTCTCCTTGCTCTTCCCATTGGCGTAGCTCTGGAGAGGCCAGAGGACAGTGAGGCCAGCAGCAAGAGGGGAAGGGGCAGCAGCTGGAGGGGAGGGAATAAGGTGAGGAGGCTAACCGGATGAACGACGAACGTGGAAGGGGGAAGGTTCCCACGGGAAGACTCAGTCCTCCAAGAGGGGAAACCAGGAGACCCAGACGCTGCCTTGGGAAGCCAGACTAGGAAGGTCACAGCATGTTTATGCCCATGGTGGTGAGTGAGGGTTCTGGAAAGGTGGGAGGAGCTGAGAAGTGACAGAAAGTGTGTAGACAACTTTAGCATCCTTGGATGAAAGAGGGCAGGGAAGCCTGAGGATAAATGGCAGAGCCTCAGTGGTAGGGGCTGCTGCTTTGGGTGGGGAAACCCTGGGTAGAGGGTGCTGAAGGAAATGAAGGGGAAAGGAGATTGATGGGTGAATGCTACCAAGGGAAGATAGAGATCTGCTGGTGTTCTTTTGGACAGTGTCGTCTCATAGGATTTGGGGAGTTGAGCAGAAAGCCAGTCTTTGAATCTACTAGTTGATTTCTCTCTCTCTGTCTCTCTCGTGTGTGCTACCTCTTTTCTTTTCTTTTTTTTTTTTTTTTTTTTTTTTGAGACAGGGTTTCTCTGTGTAGCGCTGGCTGTCCTGGAACTTGCTCTGTAGACCAGACTGTCCTGGAATTCACAGAGATCTGCCTGCCTCTGCCTCCCAAGCACTGGAACTAAAGGCATGCGCCATGGTCCCGCTTTAGTCGATTTCTTAATTTTATTCAGGGAGAGGTTGGGAGGCAATTTCTGGGAAGGATGGGGTGGAGCCCATTGTCAGGGGAGATGGAGCTTCTAATCCGTCCTCGGATTTGATGGTCACTGGTGGTCTTTGGATGGTACATATCGGCGACAGAAAATCCCAGGATTAATTAGGGACCAATTTGGATATTAGACAGAGAGTGGATGGCTCCTGGACCAACAGATGAGAAAGACGCTTGAGGAACTCGCAGAAATGGGGGTGAATCTCAATGTATCTGAGCATAAGGGGGACCGGGTGAGATCGAGGGGAACCATGAGAGATCGGGTGGGCTCGGGGTTGCGCGGTGTCCGGCTCACCGGTGTCGTGCAGGAAGAGCACCAGCGTGATTCCCCAGGTCAGCACGGTGTGCCCAGTCCGCACCAGCACCCCAGGGCTGAGCAGCGCCCAGAGAGCCATGGCCTTGGCCCCTGCGCCAGCCCACCCGGAAGAAGCGCGCGGAAGGAGGGGCCGCGGAGCAGAGGCCGCGGCAACACGGGGATTGGTGGCTCCGCCATTGGAGGCGGGGCCCTGGTGGCTCAGGGAGACTGTTTATTGGGTGGCGCCTGCGGCCCCTCAAGCCAACAGGTGCCAGAGGAGGCCGAGGGCGGGGCCGGCGCGCGCACAGACCGTAACTCCCTAACTCCGCCCCCCGTGGGCCAGGTAACTTTGCAAAGGCCGGGAGGCGGAAGCCTCGGAAGGTCTCCCCCCGCTTCCCCGCATGCGTGTACGTGTCTGTCTTTGGTTTACAAGACACAGGTGTCATCTGTGATGCCCGGAGGTCACGTTGGGCTTGCTTCCAAAGGGCTACTGGCTGGGCTTGCACGAGGGTGCGCCTTGATGACACACTTGCCTTCTATTCGTTTTCGGATATTGCAAACGGATGATGGGAAAGAGGAGGAGGGTTCTGGTGCGGATTCTGGACAGCCATGGCCGGGCTTGGTGTGAGAGAGCACATCCCATGCCTTTCGAGGCAAGTCACTGAACTTCTCTGATCTACTTTCTATCTCTCAATGGGGTTGGCGACAGTACCCGCCTCTAAAACAGGCTACCACCGCGGCCCAGCCAGACTTTCTCTTGTGTCCCTCCGACCCTCCTCATTAGGCTGACTTCCAGCTGATTGCTCCCCTCCAGCCCCATTCCCCGTATTCATGCTGTTGACGGTTTGTTTTGGTCACCTGGGCATTCTCCTTTTTTTTGTAGGGGAACTACAAAGCCTGTGTGGTTCTGTATTGTCCCTCACTCGTGTGTGTCTGTGTGTGTGTGTGTATTGGGGGATAAAGCAGTTAGGGCTAATCAGAACCATTTTATGGTATTACAAGCACAATCGGTAGAGTGCTTGTCTAGCGCATTCAATTCCCAGCATGGTATAGAGTATGGTGGTGGATGCTGCAATCTCAACAAAAGGAGATAGAGACAGAAGTACAAGGCCAATCTCCATTTTATATGGGGGTAAGGGATTCAAAGCCAACTTGTGTGACATGAAAGTTTGTCTCAAAAAAAGGGTTTGGAAGACAGGCAGTGATGGGGCACCCCTTTAATCCCAGTACTCAGGAGGCAGAGGCAGGCGGACCTCTTAAAGAGTTCCAGGATAGCCAAGGCTACATTGAGAAAACCTGCCTCAGAAAAGCAAAAGAGAAATTAAAAAGGGCAAGGGTGGGCTGCTGACATCTTTAATCCCAACACTGGAACAGAGGCACACACCTTTAATTCCAGTGTTTGAGACACTGAGATAGGCATCCGATGGCCAGGCCTGGTCTACAGGGCAGCATAGTGAGGCTCTGTCTCAGGGGTAAAAAAAGGACAAAAACAACCCCTCCCACACACATACACTTATTTGTGAGTTTGTGTGCATTTGCACTCTGGAGCATACATGGATGACATGCTGCAGGGATGGAAAGAAGATAATCCTACCTGTTGGTTCTCGCCTGCCATGTGGGTTTCAGGGACTGAAGTCAGATCATCAGGTTGAGAGTCTGGTTATTATTATTCTGTGTGTGTGAATGTTTTGCCCAGATGTCTGTGCACCATGTCCATGCCCATGCCTGGTGTCTGCAGAGGTCATAAGAGGGCAGCAGAACCTCAGGAACTCAAGTCACAGATAATTATAAGCACCATGTGAGTGCTGGAAACCAAGCTATGGTCCTTTGCAAGAGCCACAGGACAATAGGGCATGGTAGTGCGTATCTTTAATCTCAGGATTAGACACAGGCAGCCCAGTACTCAGGAGGCAGATCTCCAGAGCTCAAGACCAGCCTGGTCTACAGCGTGAGTTCTAGCACAGCCAGGGCTACACAGAGAAACAGCAATAAATTACAGTATTTATTTGTGCTTTTTGGGTTGTGGGGGGCAGTTGCAGGAATGGGAATGGAACTCAGGTAGTCAGCCTTGGAGGCCAGTGCCCTTACTCCTTACCTGCTAAGTAAGCCACAAGTCTGACTCAGCCAGTAATTTGGGGCTTTTTGTTTTGTTTTTGTCTTTTGAAACAGGATTTCTCTGTGTAACCTTGGCTGTCCTGGAACTCAATTTGTAGACCAAGTTAGCCTTGAACTCACAGAGGTTCATCTGCCTCTTGCCTCCTGAATGCTGGGATTAAAGGTGTATGCTACCACCACCTGGCCAGCCAGCAATTAAAAAAAAAAAAGAAAGAAAGAAAGAAAAAATTTACTCATTTATTATGTCTAGTGTCCTGCCTGCAGGCCAGAAGAGGGCATCAGATCTCACTACCTATGGTTGTGAGACACCATGTGGTTGGTAGGAAATTGAACTCAGGATCTGTGGAAGAGCAGTCAGTGCTCATAACCTCTGAGCCATGTCGCCGTATCTTCAGCTCCACCAGTAAGCTTTTTTTTTGGGGGGTGGGGGTTGAGACAGAGTTCCTCTGTGGCATTGGAGGCTATCCTGGAACTAGCTCTTGAAGACCAGGTGTGCACCACCAACACCCAGCCACCAGTAAATTTTTAATAAGAGCCTTGGATGGGTGGGCTGGAGTGATGGTTGAGGGATCAATGCTCACTACTCTTCAAGAAGCTTGGCTCTCAGCACCCATGCCACACAGCTGTGAGCTGCTATCCTCTTCTGGCCGCCACACGTAAGTATTGTACACTCCCATGAAGTAACTAAAATGACTAAAAAGAGCCTTGGGTGCTCAGGGCTCTGTGCTGTGTGCTGAGCCTCGGCATAGCTCTGACGTGGTGTTCACCATCCCATGGGAGTGTAGGCAGGCACCGTGATGGGTGAAGGATGCTCCGGAAGCTGTACTCCCTCCTTTGCTGTGGTGACCTGAGGTAAGAAGGCACCTCACCTTTGAGTCCATGGACTGTGGACTGTTCCAAGGACTACGAATACTGAGTGCACATACACAGGGTAACCCAACAAAGGGTATGCACAGATGGAGGAAACTGCAGGCCCTGACAGCCACTCCTGATCCCTCTGGTACTTGGCTGACAAACCCAGAGTTCAAGGGCAATCCACCATTTGTGATGGCCTTTCTGGCTAGGCCATGTGGCTTGCCAGTGATAGAGGGTACTCACCAAGGGCGGAGCCTGGTGAGGGCTCTGCTGAGGGGGAAGAGGGGACCTCTGCTCCACTGAGAAAGGTGTGGTCAGCAGGCCAGCTCCCAGAACTGTTCAATGTGTTCCTGGCACTCCTGCCTACACCCTGTGTGTGGTCTGCAGAGCACGTGACCGAGTGGTTCCTGTCAAGAACCTGTAAGAGCAGGACTACTTGAAGTCACAGGAGGCTCCAGAAGTAAAGCAGGGCTGTCCAGGCAGAGCTGGGGTCTGGCCACTTCAGGGTTGTTCCCTGCTCTTTGGCTCCCCTCCCACCCACACCCTCATGCCCCTCACAGCACTGCTCCCCAGGGTCTGTCTACTGTCTGTCATGGCAAGGCCCTCTGCCTGGGATGCTATACCTGGCAGGCTCCACTTTTCCACAGGGTTCAGCTTAGCCTTATATGGCTCTTTCCTCTTCTCTCTCCACAGGGAGCTGTGTGACCTACCGGACTTTCTGAGCCACTTCCACCATTCCCAGAAGTGGCAGGAGGCACCTTTCTTATCTTTACTGCAGAGAGGCAAGTCTATTTATGTTTCCCGTGTGTCTCTCCCAGCAGGCTGTGCCACCCCAGTAGAGGCTCTGTCAGTTGGTGGCTAGCCATGACCTCAGTGTCTAGGCACACATGTGTAGAATGTCACAGATACATACTCACCTTAGTGTGCTGCTACCTGTCACCAGCCTGCAGCAACATAAAGCTACAAGAAAACCACCTGCACTCCAGGGTCCTCCTGGGAGACCCCTAGCCCCCTTCCTAACCCCTACCCCCACATCTTAGACCAGTATCCCCCAATCTCTTCTGAAAAAAAAAAAAAAAAGTGAGAGAGACACACCACACTTTTTTTCACTTTGCACAAAAATGTATTTCTGTGACACCCCAAAGTACAGACATTTCCCCAGACCCCAGGTGGTAAAGCAACGGGCTATGAACTCTGCTATGGCCTGGCCACTGCCAGAAGGGCCCAGGAAAGGAGGGACTAAGGTTGCCCAAGTACTACGTGGGGGAAGCACATGGTTAAGCCCTCTAACCTGGCTGGGGAGACTGTTTTCTCAGGAGAGGTTAGCTACCTCTCCTGAGTTCTGTCGACAGCTGGACCCCTTCTGCCTGGAGGCAGACATGCCAGGCTAGAAAAATCAAACAACAGGCCCAGGGGAGAAAGGGCAGAAAAAGCCACAGCATAAGCTGCCTCTGGGGTCAGCTTTGCCCCTTGTGAGAGCACAGGCCTCCTCCCTCAGTGGCCAGCCCTGTGTCAATAAGAAGCAAAGCTAAGACACAGCTCGGGAGTGTGAGAGATGCCTAGAGAGCGGCCTGTCACTGTGCCTGGAACACAATACAGCAGCTTCTCAGGGACAGCCTGAATGGGCTGGAGGGACAGAGGACTGTCCCAGTGCTGGTCTGGAGGTGGCTGCCCGCTGTCACTGTTAAGGGCTGTAGTAGGGCCCTCCCGCCTTGTAATATCTTCTGGGCAGGGGATGGGCTCAGCTCTGCTGGTGGGAGTACCTGGGCACTGGGGAGCTGTGGGCAGAGGACTACAGAAAAAGGAGCAAGACCCTGGTCCTGGAAGGTGCCAGCTGCCAGAGCTGGGGTGGGTTGGGGCATGTTTGGCAGAAGGGGCAGTGGACTTGCCCCTCAGTTCTGACCATCTCTGGGCTGGAGCCTTCAAAAGCCTGGGGCCTGAGGGAGACTTGAGGCAGCCTCCATAGCAGCATGGCCAAGGGCAGGCCTGGCAAGAGAACAACGGGCCAATACAACCCTGCTTCTCCAGGGCCCTCTGGACAGGAGCTGCATAGCCTGAGGCCTGGCAACATCTTACTTTGTGGCCCCAGATGGCTCACAGCCTGGAGCACCAAGGCTTCTGGGAGACTCAGTAGGGCTGGTCTTAATCCCCAAGTCCTATCAGCTTCACCTGGGAGCCCAGACAGCACACTCAGGCAGGCATCAGGGGTGTTGAGCAGCCTGGTAAGGGCCAGCTCCTCCAATAGACAGAATCCAGGCCAGGGTCTGAGCTCACTGGGAAGGGCATGGACACTCACAGCATTAGAGGCAAGGCTGGCTGGGGCAGGAGTGAACATGGTAGCAATGAAAGCTTTGGAGGCGGGCTAAGAGTGGCAAGGAGTTGCAAAGACTCAGGAGAAGTCATACACGCAAAACTTCACACTTCCTAACCAAAAAAATAATATATAATATATATATATATCACTAACATTAAGGAAAAGCGTTGGCTGTGCAAAAGTCCTCAAGGTCTCTTCTTCCTGTGGGAGGCTCCGGAAGGGACCTGCCCACTGGGCCTCCAGCGCTTCCTCCCGTCCTGTGGTCCGAGCTGTGTGGCCATGGGTGGAGGCCTCTATCTGGACGTGTCCATGTTCTCCTCTCTATAGTTACTGCAGTGATCAATCACCTTGCTGGATACAACAGGGGAGGGCAGTAGAGGGTGGTTAAGGAGAGCTGCTCTTCCAGGGGCCCCGCTCAGGCCCCGCAGCTGCCTAGCAAACCTTGACAGACTTGAATGGTGTCAGTGGCTGGCAGAACACCTGGGAAATAGTGCCTGTGGCCATGAACACTGCCATTGCCCTCCACTTGAGAAAAGAGTCCTATAAGCAACCGGGCCTGAGCTCCCAAACCTACTGTTGCCCTCTTCACCATTTGCCCTGCATACCAGTCCACTCTCTCAGCACAAGTCCACTAGGGGGCCCCAAATAAGCACTGGTCTGGAGATCTGCACAGGCAGCATGCTGGCTCCAGGCCTTAGTGCCCCAGGTCACCCTGCTCCTTGAGCAAACTGTCACTACTGATGTTGTTCCTTCGAACTTGCCTGCTGAACAGGAAGTCTCTGGGTTTGAGGGTTTGCTGCAGCCTCAACTTGTTAAAAGGCTGCATCAAGGCCTTTTGAGAAGGAAATGCCCAAGGCCATTCATTCATTGATGCAAGAAGAACCTTCTGGCTCAGACACATCTCAGGCCTCAGGGTGCCGAGAAAGCTGACAAGTCCCACCTAGTGACTGACAAGTCCCACCTAGTGACTGGCAAGTCCTAGGATCCTTGTTTGACATGGATAGCCCCAGCCCACTGGTAAGAAATCTACAGGTGAGGCCTGTTCAGTTCTAACACTTTCCAGGGAGCTAGTCTGTCGGTTAATACTAAAACAGCATCTGCACCAAAAATAATGGCAGAGGCAGCTGATGCCTCCAGCCCAGAAGGGCATATTCTGGGGGTGGCGGTGGGGAGTTGCCTGAGCCTCAGGCTATTATGTGCTCAGAATTATAGTAAAGGACTACCCTCCCAACTAGAATGGATCAGGAGAGAGGAAGGCCAATCCAAGGGATACTAACATGTGGTGTGGCATCTTTTGTGTATACACTGGAGGGACAATCAGGCTTGATGCTTAAAACTCAGTAATGAATCCTATGGATACAGAAGCCCAGTGAGGGTTCTGGCATACCCCAACCCTCACACTGATGTGTGTGTGTGTGTGTGTGTGTGTGTGTGTGTGTGTGCACGTGGAAGCATGCTACATATGGGGATGGGGCCTTGCACATGCTAGGCAGGTGCTGTACTACTGAGCTTCATTCTAGGCCATTGAAGGGCACTTTCCCTGGTGACCCTCACACTTGCATTCGGATACACTAACACTGTGCACATGTGGCTGGCCTCTAGAATATGCCTCACCACACTGAGTTCGTTTTCACTGGAATAACGGTGGTCAAAGATAATGCAGAATTCTTGCTAGGGCCGAGCTAGCTCTCAAGGGGAATCAAAGGAAGCCCACCGAGCGGTTGAGAGCAGATACGTTCTGCTGACAGTCGACCTCTTGTCTGTCATGGGTGAATGACAGAGGACCCTGATGGAGAACCATTCATCCCTGAGTGGCCCCTGCAAGGTTCTGCCACTCCCCTTGCTTTCCACATCAAGGTACCCAGATAGAAACACAAGTTTGCCTCTTACCGGGCCATCTCCTTGGTTTCCTGCCGTGCAGTGGGCATCTTGACCAAGTTCCTCAGCAGGGGCATCCCACCTTCTTTGATCAGCAGGGGGCAGTACTTGTCAGCTACAAGACAGGAGCAGGTAGCTGAGCATGGGTGGCCTTCTACCAGTCTGTGCCCCAGACACCCACCATGTTTCTAGAACTGCTCTGCAGTGGCTGCCTGGGAAGGACACCACTGGAAGCAAGGACAAGCCAAGGCCACCCAGTTTCCTGGGTCCACCTGGATGGGAAAATGGGCAAGCCTTGGGAAAGACACTTTCCTATTGTGGTCCAAAGTTGTTTCAATTTTCCCAGAATTTGTCCTATGGAAAATATCACGCTCAAAGCATGATGCCTCTCTATTTATATCATGACACAGGTTCCCAGGGAGTTCTGGAAAAGGAGTCCCCAGGCAGAAGCTTGCATTATGATACTGTTAGTAAGAGAGCCCCCAGGACTAACAATCCAGGGTAGAAGCACAGGTGTCCTTTTGCCCTGCAGGTGGCAAAAAGACTGCAAAGTTTACTCACAAGCAGGATGGCAAGTGTGAAGAAAGGCACATTGGTACAGGCCCGGTTGCCCTGCTGGTGCAGTGGGACTAGCCATCACACTGGCATGCCACTAATGCCAAAGTGCAGAGGCCTGCTCTATGTGTCCTCTCCTGCATGCCAGCTCCCTGTGGACATGCTGTGTTCAGCTGAGTGAATGTCTGAACTAAGAGAGGGGAGGCACTCACGGTAGACAGACACAAGGTTGTATAGGGCCCATGTGGCCCAGTGCTGACTGACTGGAGAGATGCCCTGAGGAAGGAGGCGGAGAATCGGTTCAAAGGACCTGGAGGGAGAGAGACCGCTGTTACCCTCAGATCAAGATCAGGGAGGATGTGAGCCTTTTTTCCTCCCTGAGCTCTCCTCCCTGCAAGGTCCTAAGGGCAGCATGGGCAAGCCTGTGGGATGCCAGGGCCCCTGCTGCAGGCTCTGCCTAGGAACTCACTCTAGAAAAGATCATCGTAATAGAGGGAAAAGGGCAGAAAGCTGGGGGTCTCCTCGACCCCTGAGAGGCAGACTGTGGTGAGGACAGGAAAAACCCTGAGAATCACCCACAGTGATTCTAGGCCAGGCTGGAGTTCCAGCTCACAAACCAAAAAAATCATATCAACAAAGCCTCAGAGGGGCCCTGAGGATTACCAATCTGTCCCTCAGAGGGGCCCTGAGACTTACCATACTGTCCCTCAGAGGGGCCCTGAGACTTACCATCCTGTCCCTCACAGGGCCCCTGAGACTTACCATCCTGTCCCTCACAGGGCCCCTGAGACTTACCATCCTGTCCCTCACAGGGCCCCTGAGATTCAGCAACCTGTCCCTCAGAGGGGCCCTGAGACTCAGTGTCCTGTCGTAAGAGGGGCCCCAAGAATCAGCATCTTGTCTCCCAGTGACCTGGGGCCTAAGCAATGCTGTACACCTTAATCTATCCTTCAAATAAGCATTTAACTTTTAATGACCAGCAGCACACACAGCACACACACAGGAAGAGTGATTGTAATCCACTTACAGTACAGTGACAATTAAAGCCAGCCTGATGGAGGCATGACTACGGGACACACAGGTGTTAGTTAATAAGTGGGAAACGTGCCCATCATACACTACATCCTACGGTGAGTGAGAACACATGACTTTAGAGGACAGGACCACGGCACTCTGGAACAAGCAGTTTTTGACTCTCCATGCTGTGTACCTTCCCATCTCAAACCTGTAGTTGATATTTCTTCGGGAGTTGATGTCCCAGCTCTGGATGGCCGCCCACATACGTTCCTCCACCTCTGACCTCTGGGGTTCACAGACACCCCAGGCCTCGGGCCCATCGAACATGATGTGGGACAGGACACCACAGGCATTGTAAGACACCTCAATGCCGTCAGCCTTGCTTTCCAGCAGGTTGCTACCAGGAGGAAGAAGGAAAAATCCATCATGCACTCACAGATGATAACCTAGATACCCAATGCCAGAAGCACTATTACTATGAATTTGCTGGTTCAGCCTCCTGAGCCCTAGGATTACAAGTGTGTACTACTGGGGCTCAGCTGTAAATGACTTGGGTTTTTTTTTTTTTTTTTTTTTTTTTGATCTCATACAGTTCAACCTGGCCTGGAACTTGCTATGTTACCAAGATTCCTGCTTTGTCTCCAAGATTCCTGCTTTGTCCCCCAAATGCTGGGATTATAAGCTTGTGCTATCATATCCAGTCACTTGTTATTCACAAAGTCCTTCAAAAATGGATGTGACATTACTGCCATCCGTGGCATGGTGAAAGAATAAGAAAGCACGTAGGGGGTTGAAAAATGGCCTAGAGGTTAAGAGCACAAACTGCTCTTTCAGAGACTGGAGCTAGGTTCCCAGCACACATGGCGGCTTGCAACTGCCTGTACCCTGCAGCTCCAGGAAGACCCAAAGCCTCTGGCCTTTATGGGCCACTGCACTCATGGGCACATACCCATCCCTCACACACACATAATTAAAAACAAATCGACTGAAAACCAAAACCACATTATAGACAGCAGTTATCAATAACAGAAACTTAGATTGAGTGCAGTTGTAGCCAGACATAGGCTACACACTACTTTTTAGAGTACCCTGACAGCTGAGGAAGCACCAACCTGAACACGCTGATGAACTGGGAGGTCATCAGCTGAGGCCGCAGCTCCTTCACCTCTGCCACATTCCCCAAGAGTCCTAGCATGTTCCGGTGTAGCTCCTGCTTCTCTGGGAACTCCTGGGTAACAAGAGCCAGAAAGACCTTCGTACTCCATCATTTACTGTCTGATATTGTTACCCTGAAGTCTTTGTGGGCACCTGCCTGAATGGCTCTTCTAGACACAAGAAATACAGTAGGATGACTTCCTAGTGCTCCCATGACTCTGGGACAAGCGTGGCTCCATTTGCCATAGCTCAGAAGAGTCCTGGGGAGCCCCTTGGAAGCTAGAGCAAGAAACAGAGACCTACCTAATGGGCAGAACTGTATTTAGTTAGCAGGGAAGGGTCTGTAGGCAGTTGGAGCAGAGTGCTGTGAAAAAAGGCAGGTTCACTGGCAGAAGGGATCTCAAAAGGCCCAGCTGGGTGGCATAGCTTGGGAGCAGGGGTGGGGGAGGGGGATACGCAGCCCCAGACACTTCTCTTAGGGGCAAACACTATATGTGTGGCCCTGAACTGCTTATGCCCTGTGCGTCCAAACCTTGTATGGGATGGCACCTGCTGGATATCAATCAGCCTGTGGGATAGGTGGGAGCTTGGCCAATGCCTACCTTGAGACAGTCGAGAAAAAGCTTCATGCCATTGAAGTTGAGAAACATCTCGCAGTTGTCGGGTGTCTCATCTGTGATGTTCCATAGGGCACTCCAGGAGAACTCCATGACCTGGTCACACTGTGGGGGAAGCAAAGCTCAATTGTGTTCTCCTGAGGACACACAGCCAGCCCTGGCACAGAAGACTCTGGGGTGAGGGCAGAGTGTATGAGGCTCTCCTTACCGTCTTGTCCAGCAGCTTCTTCTGGATCAGCTTCAACATGGTCTGTAGGAGAAAGGCTGTCTGAGGTCAGGGCTCCAACAGCCCAGGAGCTCAGCAGAGAGTGGGCTGTCCCAGATGACACAGCCTCACGGCATCCAATGTTAGTTTTTCTGGAGGCTGCTTGAAGGTGGTCAAGAACATACATAGCCCAATCCTCCCCTGCTATGGGCTGTACTTCCCCAGGGACAAAGTGAGGGTGGCAACTGATCCATCTCTCCTCCACCCCACCCCAGGGTCGACCCTACACCTTTCCCCTACCCCTTATCCCTCGGCCCAGATCTCCAGAGGCCTCACTCACAGAGGACAGGATGACATGGGTAGGCAGGCACACGTACCACAACGAAGCCCATCTTGCCCACGGCCTCCTTGTGGTCATTGTCCACCTGGCAGACCAGGGCATTACACAAGTGCACAGCAATGCGCTGGATTGACTCATCCTGCCGGGTGGGGCTGAGGATGCTAAGCAGAAGTTCATTCACACGTCGGTACTGGAACTCCAGCTCTTCGGGGATGCTGAAGTTGCAAAGGGTCAGACAGCAGTTCCGCTGCACCTGGGCCAGGTTGGGAGGCAAGCAGAGAGCATTTAGGCACAGCTTTGTAACGAGGCTCCAGGTGGTGGCCACCCGGAGCTGGGGAGGCCCTCTGGAGAAGTAAGTTACCAGTCTTTTTTTGTTTGAAGATTTTTGAGATAGAGATGGGGGATCTTATATAAACCAGGTTGAATTCAAATTCACTATGTAGTCAGGGCTTCAACTCCTACCCTTCCTGCTTTAGCCTCCCAAGACCTGGGATTACAAGTGTACCACCAGGCTCAGCTAAGCCTCGCTGCCTGGTTCTTTATGTTTATTAAGATTATTCTAAAAAAGCATTTAAAAACATGAAATTTTGTAGCATATATAATTGTTAAAAAAAAAAAAAAAAAAAAAGAAAAGAAAAACGTAACCATTACCTGTGCCAAGAACCAACACTGCCAATAGCCAAAGACCCTTTCTGATTCTAAGACTCTTCCTACCCTTCCCAGGGAGCCATCCATAGTCCTCGTCAGGACTGCTTACAAGGTCAAGTGCTGTTACATGCAGCTGAAATGTACTTATTTTCATTGCAGCATAGTATTCTCTCATGACATCTCAGTTTATCTGTCAATTCTCCTACTAAAAATCTTTGGCCACTGTGCATAATGTATTATACATGCTTTCTGATGTCGGTAACACAGCTGCACTGGGGTACACATGCTTGGGGGATTTCTGCTCTTTATGTTCTTGACAGGGTCTTATGGAGTCCAGGCTGGCTTCGAACACAGCTGAAGATGGCACTGAATTTCTGGTCCTCTTGCCTCCACCAGGCCTGGCTTCCTTGTGGACTTTCTGGATCACAAAGTCTAAGTGTACATGTATTCATGGTGCTAGATAATGCAATGCCAGGCTGTTTTCCAGGTGGCTGTGTTGGATTCCCACCTGCAGTGAACAGGCGTCTGGCCACTCCCCTTCTTGGTTGCTCTTTCCCAGCTGGCACATTTATGGTGATTGCTGATCACCATTTAATCTTATTTCCTTCCTTATTAAACATACTAGATTTTAAAATTTATTTATGTGTGTAAGTGTTTTGCCTGCACCGTGCCTTGTACTCAAGGAGGTCAGAAGGTGTTGGAGCCCTGGGACTGGAGTTACAGCCAATTGCAAGCTGCCAGATGAATGCTGGAAACTGAACCCATGTCCTCTGCAAGCGTAACAAGTGTTTTTAACTACCGAGCCATATATCTAGCTCTGTTCCCTTCCTTATTTAATATTGACATTCACCATGTTTTATTGATCACTCTTTAAAGAGTATGGCCCCTTAGTCAACATCTTGGAGTTTCCCCCCATTTTATCAGACACACACGCATGAACACAGATACTTTTTTACAGTGATGGGAATTGAACCCCAAGCTCCATCACTGAGTTACACACCTGGCCCAAAGTATTATAATGTGAGAGAAGGTTTATCTTAAAGCTCCTTTTTTCTTTTTGAAAATTTTTATTTGTTTGAGATAGGGTTTCTCTGTGTAGTCCTACCTGTCCTGAAACCCACTCTGTAGATCAGGTCGGCCTTGAACTCAGAGAGGCAGTACCCTGCTTCTGCCCTGGCCTTACTTTAAAGTTTAAAGGTAACCCTGTACAATATTTATATGCTACAGCCTGTGCAGAAAGCTACTAGTGTCCAGCAGGCCCAGCACTTAGGAGGTAGAGGCAGGTGGAACTCTGTGAGTTCAAGGCCAGCCTTGTCTACAGAGTGAGTTCCAAGACAACCAGAGTAACCCTGTCATACACACACACACACAGAAAAGGTAGTGTCCTAGCTCCTTTGTTTCCTTGATTTCAATTTTATGAATGTGGATGATTTGCTAGCATGTTTGTCTGTATATCACATGCATACAGTGCCCAAGAAGGCCAGAGGAGGGTGCTGCATACCCTGGTACTGGAGGACAGATGGTTGTGAGATAAGGGATTTGAACCTAGGTCCTCTGCAATATCAGCCAGTGCTCTTAATTGCTGAACCATCATTCCATGCCCCATTTTCTTTCTTTTTTTTTTTTTTCCTTTCTCCTTCTTCTGATTTTCGAGACAGACTGGCCATGAGTTCCCAGAGATTCACCTGCCTCCTCTGTCTCCTGAGTGCTGGGATGCCCCGGTGATTTTCCTTTTGAGACAGGGTTTTACTCTGTAGCCCAGACCCCAATCCTTTCCTCAGCCTCCATCACAAGCAAGAGCCTCATTCCCCACATTTCCCCTCTTTTGTTTGAGCCAAGTCTTCAAAGCAGAAATTGTGTGTGGGTCTGGAGAGCTGGTTCAGCAGTTAAGAACACTGGTTGCTCTCCTAGAGGACCTGGATTCAATTCCCTACACCCTCAAGGCAGTTCATACCTGTCTATAACTCCAGGTCCAGGGCTTCTGACACACTCACACAGACATACATGCAGGCAAAACATCAATGAACATTAATAATAATAATTAAAAAGATTTATAAAATTGTCTGCACATTCACACCCTGTAGAGGTGAGCATCTACATCATACAAACAACTGCAGCATGGTGCGCATGGCCTATTTACTAAATTCTCATGCACAGAGTAAAATTCAGAATAAGGGATATCAGTGGAAAGCTATAAGTGTGTCTTTGTATCTGTAATTGTTTTATGGTGAATATTCTTGTATTACACAGTTATAGGGACAGAGGGGCAGAGGAAATGGCACATCTGAAACTCAGAAAGCAGAGGTGGGGTGGCTATGGCAGTGGGCTGCAGTTGAGGCCAGCTTCTGGGGTCCTTATGTGCCAGGGACAGGTTTCAGGGACAGCAGCCATGCCAGGGGAACTGGCAAAGGCCGCTTAAGTTCAGGTAAGACTGGCGGACATGCATGTCTGGGACCCTGGGCAGCAGAAGGGGCTACTGGGCCAAAGCATGCAGCCACAGTAGATGGGGGCTCACCGTCACCTCCTGGTAGGATTCCATGCCGTTCAAAACGACCTGGATGACCTGCCGGCGTAGCTTGATACTCTGCTCTGAGCGGTACTCGGAATTGGTCAGGTAGAAGAGCGCAGCACTGCCAGTCACCTGAATGTTCTTGTCATACTTGTGGCACTTGAGGGCTGTGATGACCAGCTGTGTGAAGACAGGGTAGGGGCTGGGGCCAGAAGTACTGCCAGAGCGAGGCAAGGACACCGTGGCTCCTCTAGGAAAGGCTGATCCCAGCCCCGCACTCCTGGGTAAATGTGGGGGAGAACAGGACCTAGGGCAGGGCCTGAACAAGTTGGCAGGGAAGTCAGGCACTGCCAAAGACGGGGAGGCTGGCAAGGCAAGTCTGCCTATGCCCCTGGGATCAGGAGTGGGTGCAAAGAGACAAAGGAGGAGGGCAGGGCTCTCTGAGAACCTGAGGGCTTGGGGTCTGAGCTGACCTTCAGGGCCCGCAGAAGCTGGTTGCAGCGTTCAATGCGTGCAATGTCAAACAGCAAGTTGATGGCCCTGGAAGTGATCTCAGGTCGGTGCTCTGTGTAGGCCTCGATGGCATTCAGCACCTGCTCTTCATTTTTATCACCGCTTACCTAGTGATGGGGCAAGTTCAGAATGACCCAAAAGAGGCCAGGTAGTGGGATGCCCAGACTCAATAGTGCCCCAGTACCCGGCCACTTTTCTTCCTCCCACACCGCCACCTCTTACTTTGTAGGCTGGAATGTGTGTGAGGCGACACAGGGAGGTCTCAAAGAGCCCAAGGAACTGCAGAGGCCTCTTCAGAGCCCGGAAAGGCATGATGCTGCTCTTGGAAGGTTCAATGCTGGGAACAGAGCATGCCAGAGTCAGCAGCCTGGTCAGACCTTCCAGGGCTCCCCCATCGATGGAGAAACAAGGGCTTCAAGCCTCATCTTGCCCCTGCCCAACTCACTAAGTAGCTACGACTGACACTGAACTCCTGATCCTCCTACCCCCACCTTCCAAGTGCTAGGATTATAGGCACATGCTACCATGCCTGTTTTATGCTGTGTTGGGATGGAGCCCTGGGCTTTGTACATGGTAGGCAAATACTCTACTACCTGATACATTCCCAGCCCCCACTTCTTGATGGAAAGGTGGGAAGGACACAGTGTAGAAGAACACGGGATGAGAACTGCTACCACTGCCACTTTTGAGAGGTTTTACCTGCCATTCTAACAGGAACACCTTTCACTAACAGGCACAGATAAGCTCCTCTGACAATGCCACTAACATGGCTAAGGGAGGGTGTGAGGCCAATTATAGTGGCTGGGTTGGAATTAGATCTCAGCACCAGTCTAGAGGCACACATCAGTCATGGCAGCACCCAGTGAGCAGCAGTGCAACTGCGCTGTCCCTGCCTTACCGCATGCCGCGCCACTTGTTTCCCAGGCACACCACTTTAGGCCCACAAGCCTTGTGCATGCTGATCCATGCTACAATTGTGATCTGTTCAACACTCAGAACGGTATAAGGCAGTCCAAGCGTGTGCATTTCCCAGGCCAGTGCCCAGAATGACTTTTCTATCTCTACCAGCTCGCACGGGCCACAGTGGGCAGGGCCTGACTTGCTTCTTTATTTATGCTAGTTTATTCAAAGTGTGTGTATGAGTACTTGTGTATGCTGGCACGTGAGCACTCATATGGAGGAAATCATCAGACAGTTTGTAGATCTGGGTTCCATGGACAGAACTCAGGTCATCAGGTTTGGGGTCAAGCACCTTTACACGCTGAGTTATCTTGCAGGCCCTTGACTTAAAAAAAAAAAAAATTGATTATTTATTTTAATTTTATGGGTATGGGTGTTTCTCCTGCATCTATGTTGTACTCTGTGTGCCCAGTGCCTGCAGAGGCCAAAAGAGGATGTCAAGTCCCTTGGAAGTAGACTTATACAGACAGGCTGTGAGCCATCATGGGGATGCTGGGACTCAAACCCAGGTCCTCTGGAGGAGCAACAGATGCTCTAAACTGCTAAGCCATCCATCTCTCTAGCTACCCCAGCCCCTTTTTGAAGCGATGTAGCCCTAGCTGGCCTTGAATTCACAGAGATGAGCCTTCTCTGTCTCTGTGCACTGGGATTAAAGGTGTGCATCACCATGCTGAACTCTCGGACTTGCTTATCTCTAGCACCCAGCACAGCACATGGCACAGGGTGCTCAGTCAGGGCTTGGTAAATGATATCCTCTCAGCAGCCACAGCTGGGTACCCACCTAGTCTGACCTGCCTCCTCATCCATCTTGGAGATGCTGCAGTTCTCTAGGATCATGTGGCCAGAGATGTCCAGGGACATCAGGTTCCCCAGCTTCTGCACCAAGAGGCTGAGCACCTTCCGTGTCAGCTTGAATTTGTAGTAGCTGGAGAGGCGGTCTCGGGAGATGTCTAGGTGGCTGGAAGACAGGCAAGGGCCACAGGTCAGGGTCTGGTTCCTCCAAGCCACAGCAGGGGAGTGGCCACTACTGCCACAACTTCCCCCACGGAATTCTGGGGGAAAGCCCTGCTGGGACTTAGGGGCCTTAAATCGCCGTCATCCAGCTAGAGTATATGGTCTATGGAGAAGGCTCTGTCCCTCTGCTTCATGCAAGGGTTCCCTCTCTCTCCCATACTTCTCTCCCACTTCTACCCTCCCCTCCTGTCAAATGCTGAGTGAGCAGCTCACCGAAGCTTGTGCAGCTGGGCGATGACACGGATGTGCTCATCTGATAGGTCCATGTTGTAGAGCACAAGGGACATCAGACTGTCTTTCCACTGTGTTAGGAAGGTAGCATCGCTTGTCTGGATGCCTGAGAGGTCCAAGGCAGCCAGTGAGTTGAGTGGCCGGAGCAGCGACTCCACAGGGACACCATCAATCATGCGGCCCAGGTTGAGGAAGCGCAGGCGGCTGAAGCCTTCGAAGGTGAAGTCCTTAACCAGCACCTGGCAGGTGGGGTTGACGAGACACTCGTCCTCACAGCCCCCTGGGTTGTCCTCCTCATAGAAGATGTTGGCACAGCCGAAGAGGCTCAAGGACACCAGACTGTGGCTGAAGCTCCGCAGCGTCTGCAGGCTCTTGGCAGATAGCTTCTCGCAGTTGGTCAGGTATAGTTCCACCAGGTCCTGGAGTAGCACAGCAGCCTCAGCTCCTCTGCCCACCCTATGCCATCCCAGGCCTGGCTTCTGGGCAGGGGCAGGGTCTGCACAGTAGGGAGAGTGACCTCACCTGCTTTCGAATGGCCTCCAGGTCCTGGTCCTGTACCAGGTCCTCACGGAGGTGGATCCGAGAGAGGCGAGTGCTGCGGGGGTCTGAGAAGAGGCTGAAGAAGGTGTCATGGGGCTCAAAGGTGCAGGCAGCACTGACCATCTCCACATACCTGGGAGAGAAGCAAGCCTAGCTCAGGGAGTACCTAGGAGTTTGGACTGCCTTCTTTCTGAGTCCACATCAAGTGCCTGAGGGCTTAGGAGATCACCCAACAGCCAGCTTAGGTCCTCTCTTCATAGAACCTGCTTAGAGATTCTGACTACACCATATGCTTCAGGAGACAGGAATCAAACGGTGACCTCAGGGTGACCACCTGGGACAAAAGGGGCCTCTTATCATCATCAGCAGCAAGTCCCAAGCACTCGTCAGCAGCCTAACATGAACCTATACACACAGCACGTGTGCCTCCTCTTCACAGGCACAGCCCATCACCAGATCTGCCCTACCTCAGCCACAGCCCTACCACGGTCCAGATATGCCTTTTCTTAGTAGCCTTCTGGCATCTTATCAGCCCCTTCCAGGGCAGGCGAATTCAGTAAGATGGTTTTGAGCTTACAGCTGGGTGCTAGGCAGAGTAAGCCTTCAGTGTAACCCTACTTAGCAGGACACCAGTTTATGCTAAATCCTGGGCTAGGGGCTTGGAGAAATGGCTCAGGTGTTAAGAGCACTTGTTCTTAGGGACTGGAAGGAGTGGAGGAAGGAAGACTCGGGTCAGAATGTAACATATGAGAAAATAATTTTTTTTTTAAAGAGTACTTGTTCTTGCAGAGGACTGGTATCCAGCACATACATGGTGGCCCCTTTAAAAAAGAAGAGCCAAGAGAGGGAGGGAGGGACAGAGAGGGAACTGGGATCCATATGTAAAATGAGAAAAAAGAAAAAAAAAAAAAAAAGAGCCAGGCATGGTACAGAACATCTCAAAGGCCAGCATTTGGGTGGCAGAGGCAGGCAAATCTCTGAGTTTGAGACCAGCCTGGTCCATAGAGTAAGTTCGAGGCCAGAAGAGGCTATACAGAGAAATCCTGTTTGGCTCAAATGCTCTCAGCTGGGAAACTCCCACATAACTCTAGATGTCAGTCTTGTCACCTGGGAAACATCATTCTGAGCTCAGTCCTCAGGACCCTTGTGGCTATGAACTCTCTGATCACAACCACTATACACCCCAGCGTTCAGGGAGTGTACACACATTGTGCTGTAGGCCCCAAGCAAGGGGGAGGGGCACCAGGAGGCTACATAAAGATCATCTGGGTGATTCAGTCTCTGCATAGGTCTGTTGTTCTGGTCTTAATACACATGTAAACACACATGTCCATGTGCATTTAGTTCAGAAGTCCAGGCACAGGTGTGAGCACACACACAGGGTAACACAATGCTCTGATTTACATGGGGATTTTAAACTAACTCATCCCTAAACACACACATGCTGCTTCACACACATGTTCTCTCTGTGCTGTATAATCCTACATGTATATACCCATTCCTTTAAGTGTCCTACCTGTACACATACTAATGCATATGCAACCATACCTCTATGGTAACATACATGCATCAGTATTGCCCCTACAGTACTGTCACACTCACAGCCACCTCCCCTTGCGGGGGTTTGAACATACAGTCAGGATTTTCAGCTCACACTTTACCCCCCACATTCGGCTCCAACCCTGCCCCAGTCCGGCGGGAGTCCCTTGCTCACTCATTGACCAGCTGGTCACAGATTTCACTGGGCAAGAAGATGTCTGGACGAAGCCGCATGGTATCCTTGTCCAGCAGGTAGCCCAGGGTGCAATCAAGATTCCGGAGACAGAAGTCAGTGCAGAGGGCCATCAGGGACTCAGGTGTGTCGGATGCCATATTGGGAGAAGGCAGGTGGCCACTCTAGGGCAACTATGAACTCCCAACACTCACAAGATCATTGGCAGAGCCACAGCCTGGAAAGGAGAGAAGGAGAAAAGAAGGCAAATGAACTGCGGATAAGAGCTTGTGTCTACTCTTTGTGTGGGGAGGAGGGAAGCTCCATCTACCACATTCAAATGCTCACCTTAAAAGGCTTTGCAAAAGCAGGAATATCAGGAGTTCCAGACCCCTAACCCTAATCCTAACCACAAAAGCAGAATGTATGCAGTCATAGAAGGTATTCATGTAACACTGGGCCATGCTACCTGAAGAAACCAATTATGCAGATTACAACACAGTCCATGGAATGTGCAGCTGCAAAAGGCAACTCTACACAGACAGACAGAGACTAGTGTCTGGGGGGAAATGGGAGCGACTGCTCCTGGAGATGGGGTTTTCTTTGGGAGTGATGACAGAGATGGGTGCACACTGTGATCACACCACAAACCACAGAACTGGATACTTTAAATGGCTGGAATACATGGCCTGTGAATTACACTCAAATTGTTACTTTATAAGTCTTGAGGGCTGGAGAGATGGCTTGGTGGTTAAGAACATCATCTACTGCTCTTACAAAGGTCCTGAGTTCAATTTCCAGAATCTACATGGTAGCTCACAACTGACCAGAATTCCAGCTCCAGGGGCATACAGTGCCACAGAGCTCAGGAAAGAAATCACATCTCCTAGAATTGGGGTTACAGATGGCAGTGTGGTGCAATGTGGTGCTGGAAACCAAACACAGGTCCTCTGCAAGAGCAAACATGTGTTCTTAACCACTGAGCCAGGCACTTCACTAAGATTTCTTAACAGGCATTAAAAGTGTGAACTATAAGGGAGAAAAGATTAAACTTGTATGCACTGGTGTAAAGAAATTTCTGTTCACACATATACTAAAGTTAATTAAAAATACACTACAGGCCTTAAGTAAAGGGTCTGTTTCACAGAAAGTCACTGATAAAGTCGGTTTAGCCATGTGTCTGCAATCGCAGCACTTGGAAGGAAACTAAGATAGTGGGTCATGAAGCTTGGTCAAGGCAACATAATGGAGATTGAGGTGAGGAAAGGGAAAGGGGAGGAGGGGAGGAAGGAGGAGGAAGAAAATGTGTATCTGGTCCTTCCTGAGTGGACCCACAGCTATCTTCACAGTGAACATTCACATTTTTACTACAATTCAGTAAAGAGATTAAAGTGGTTGGCACTGGCCAGGCATAACGGTGCACTCCTTTTGTCCCACATATTCAAAATATATAGGAGACATTTACAGACCAGTAAGGAGAGAAGCATCCAGTGCGCCAGGAGAAAGGGGCAGACCTAACAGGCACCTCCATAAGGATGATTGCCTCCTGAAGGGCACTCATCTTGCTCCATTGGTATCAGGGAAATGCATACCAACCCACAATGAGATGCCATTTCTTACTGCCAGCCAGCTCAGCTGCAAATGCCAAGCACTGGTGAAGATAGGGAGCGGTAGTGGGTGTGTAAAGTGGTGTGAACTGGGAGGTAACAAGACAGTTAAACAATACTGACAGAGGCTGAGCAGGAATGTGCTTTCAAGGGTTGGCAAGTATGCCTGCAGGAATACACCCAACAGAGGTGCATATGCAAATTCACAAGTAGGGCCAATGTGATGGCTTGTGGATAAAGGTGCTAACCATGCAATCCTGAGGACCTGAGTTCAAACCCCTGAAACTCACAGTTGAAGAGACAACAGACTCCCAGACTGTGACAGATGCATACCCACACTCTTACATACCTAATCATAGATAAAACTTTCAAAACGTACACTAAATGTTTACAGCAGTATTCTTTTTGTTGTTTTTCAAGATGGGTTTCTGTCTGCAGCCCTGGCTGTCCTGGAACTTGCTTGTAGACCAGGCTGACCCTGAACTCAAGAGATCTGCCTGCTTCATGGGCCACCATACCTGGCTCACAGCAATACTCCATGTAATGGTCCCCAAAAGAAGAAACCCTTGAATGTCCACTGACATTGCAATGGATAATTACAGTATATTTACTTATTGCTTAATTACCACACTGTAATGAGAATACAGCCAACAACTTCGATGACCCTCACAGTGTGACAAGGAAAGAGGGCATGGCAATTGTTTCAGGTGTACTCCCCTCCACTAACACATAAGGAAGTCTACCCTGGGATGGGACAATTTCCTTGGCAAGGACCTGTGTGTAGGGATGTACACCTCAAAGGAAGTTTTTGGATTCAGATGAGCTTCAGGTCATTCCTCTGAGTGGCCTCACAGATGTCTTCATAGTGAACATTCACATGTATGCTATAATTCAGTAAAGATATTAAAACTGGATGGCACCATCCAGGCATGGTAGTACATGCCTTTAGTCCCAGCACTCAGGAGAAGAGGCAGGCAGATCTCAGTGAGTTCAAGGCCAGCCTGGTCTACATAGCAAGTTGAAGGACAGCAAGGGCTACACAAAGAGACCCAGTCTCACACATTAAAAAAAAAAAAAAAAAAAAAAAAAAAAAAAAAACACAACTGGCACCAACGGAAGGAACCCACACTTGAAAGAGAGCTGGATGCACCTTGGTGATAAGCCAGTTCACATAGTATCAACAATGGCTACATCAATTGCAAACTCATACTGTACTTAGGTGAACAAGAAACAGTTCCTGGGGCTGTTAGATGGCACAGGGGTTTAGAGCATGTACTGCTCTTGCAGAGAACCTGTGTTTGCTTTATCATGTACATGTGTGGGCTCTGTGCAAGTACTATACACAATGTATAATAGACAACTTGAGCATCTGTGGATTTTGATACCCAACCCAGAGATCAATCCCCTGTGGATACTGAACTTCAGAAAAATCGGTGCTCTGCAGATGTAGTGCAGTGATAGAGCCCATGCTTACTGTGTATGAGACTTGGGGCTCAATCCCTGGCAACTCCCCAAAAGCACAGGGTCTGTGGTCAGACAGATCTCTGTTCTGACTTCATTCTGTAATTCACTGAGCTACAATGCCACCTCTCCAGATCACAGTGTCCTCATCTGGAAAGATGAAGATAATTCTCCTGCCAGGACTGGAGGAGCTGAGGAGATAAGAGGCTGGGAGGCTGGGGTTGTGTTTGACAAATAAGGAAATTCAAGCTCAGAGATTCAAGGCTCCTCTGTACAAACTGGTCTCTTTGGTACCATCATATCATCTCTGAGAAGAGTGGTTCTCAACCTATGGGCTACAACCCTTTGGGGGTCAAGCAACCCTTTTACAGGGGTTGACTAAGACCACCTGTAAACACAGACATTTACATTTAACAGGAGCGAAGTTAGTTATGAAGTAGCAATAAAATAATTTTATGGTTGGAGGTCATCACAACATGAGGAGCTGTATTAAAGGGTCATAGCCCTACGAGGAAGGTTCCAAAGGGGTGTGGGCTCAGCACTGCTCAGCTTTTGGGTATCCTGTTTCCACTCCTGAACCTTCTAAGATTCTCAGGACATGGAGCAAAAGACAACATTGCCTGTACTGGGGAGGCTGAGGTAGGAGGATCACAAGTTCAGGATCAGCCTGAGCAACTTAGTAAAAACATGTATTAATAAAATAAAATGTGGAGTGTTCCATGATAGAGTGTTTGCCTAGCATGTGCGAGACACTGGGTTCCAGCTTCTGAGGGAATTAAAAATCAGCTATTCTTTTGCTATTGCTCTTCTTTTTTTTTTTTTTTTTAAAGATTTATAGTGTGTGTGTGTTGTGTGTGTCTTTCAAAACAGGGTTTCTCTGTGTAATAGTCCTGGCTGTCCTGGAACTTGCTTTGTAGACTAGGCTGGTCTCAAATTCACTGAGATCTGCCTGCCTCTGCCTCCTGAGAGCTGGTATTAAAGGTGTGTGCCACCACACCCAGCTTCATTTTACTTTATAGACAAGACCTCACTATGTAGGCCTGATTGGCCTAGAACTCTCTAGAAAACCAGCATAGCCTTGAGCTCACAGAGATCTTCCTGTCTTTTCTGGAATTAATGGCATGTGCACTATGCCCACCTTAATATTAATGTGTGTGGAGGGAAGGTACATATGTATGTATAAGTACACACCTGGAGGCCAGAAGAGAATGACAGAGCCCAGAGCTAAAGCCACAGGCCCCTGCCAGTTGCTTGGTACAGGTACTAAGAAGTGAATTCAAGTCTCTGAAAGACTAGCATGCACTTTTTTTAAATAAGTCAGTTAAATTTTTTCTTAGTTTTACTTATATTATTTTAGATATATGTTTTCTTAGTTTTACTTATATTGTTTTAGATATATAAGTGTTTTGCATTCATCTATGTCCATGTACAGCAATGCATGCCTGGCGCTGTTGAAGGGTGAGAAGAGGGCACTGGACCCCTGGAACTGGGGTTATGGATGTCAGTGCCATCTCCAAGGCCCTGTTATTTTTCTTTTCTTTTTTTCTTTAAAAGCAGCCATTATGATTCTCACTGCCAGTTCTCTCTTCTGCCAAGCTGCTCTCGCTCCTATGTCAAGCAGGGTCTGTTCTCCCTAGACCCAGGCTTCCCACAAGGCCCACTGGCAGGTGTAACACTCTCTGGGGATGGCACAAATGGTGGCACTGTCTGGACCTCAGCATGACTTTCCTTACTTGCACTCAAGAGTCTGGGCCTTCTTCCTGCTGGCACAGGGGAATCGGCATAGCAAGGTCAGGTTTGCTGGGGACCAGTTTTCTGACCTCAGTTCTGAGATCCCTTCTAGCCTACCTCCTCCACTGGATGGCAAGAGGCCCTAGGGCCTAGTCACCTGCAGCCCCACACTTAGTTCCTTCCCTGTGTACTAGGTAGGACTGTCTAATTTCAATCAATGGTTTATTCTACCCCTCAAGAGTATCCCCTGTAACTACTATTCATGTCTTGCCTCTACAAAGCAACTCCTGGCCACTCGATGCACTGAGTTTTCTTACTGAGCTCACTCTACCATCCCAGTGTCCAGGGAGGCATCACTGTCCTGTTTGGATGTTTCTGCTGAGGACCCCAAGGGCTCAATCCAGGTTCTAGTTTATTCCTCCTGCTTCCATGGTAGACA